TTTTTTTTTTTGGTACCGGGGATCAGACTCTGGTCCTTGCGCTTGTGCAGCAGGCGGCGAAACCACTGAGCTAAATCCCCTGCCCAAGATGTGGTTTTTTCAATAAAACGGAGTACTACTCAGCCATAAAGAACCAGAAACTAGAGACATTTATAGCTAAATGGATGCATATTGAGGCCATCTTCTTAAGTGAAATAAACAGGACACACATGTGTGTAAATACCAAATTGTTTCTCTGGTGTGAGAAACTGAAAGTGTAATTAGGGATACACACAGATAAAATGGCCTAATAACATATTTCTCGGATTGTGTTTCCATCGTGTGTCATATGACTGTATCAAAATTTAAATTAGGGAGAAGTTTGGTTTATGTGAAGTATGCTAGCTAAGCTGAGTTTTTTATCCAGACCACTATTTGTTCAGTGTTGGTTTTGGGGATCTTTCTGAAACAAATCACATCCTCTGGTGTCTTGTTGGTGCTTGAGATGTTTTTTTAAGTTATATGGAAAAATGTTTAAGTGCTTTTCAGTTTTGTTTTGGTTGAAGTCTACTGTATTTGAATATTATTGTAGTTTTTTTTCCCTTGTATTGTTCTTCTTTGAATGGTTTTAATTTCTGTATTTGTGTGTGTTTGATAGTAAAGTTATTTTAAAAAAAAAAGAAATGGGTGAATTCTGTAGAGACCCTCCTACCTTGAGCAGGAGCTCATGCAGGTTAGAACTTTTTCTTTCATAGATTTCTTTTGAAAGTTTCTTATGTGATTAAGGCCCCCGAGGGAGCACTGGCCACCTGAAAAGAACAGGGAAGACATTTTGAGATATCGACATTTCAAAGCAACCCCTAAGAAAACTGCCAATGGGCATGCAGTATATGTTGTGTAACTAAAATGATGATCATCATAGTTCCCTGAGGCCCAGAAATGAATTTCCTGCACATACACAGATATCTGAGGGCCGGGGATTTAGCTCAGTGGTGCCGCCACCTGCCTTGAAAGTGCAAGGTCCCGAGTTTGATCCCTGGTACCAAAAAACAAAAAAACAAAACAGATATCCGAGTTCACCCTCTCAGTCCACTTTCTCCTTTGACGGCACAAATCTCTCCACACCTGCTTTGCAATCAACTCTACCTGTATTTCTGGACAGCTCCCTATTTGTCTTTTTTTTTACACCTTTACAGTGAACACCCTTATGTCTGAGATGTCTTCACCCACTTTTTTTTTTTTTTTTGGTACCGGGGATCGAACTTGGGTCCTTGCACTTGTGAGGCAGGAGGCAGAACCACTGGGCTAAATCCCCGGTTAGCTCCCTATTTGTCTTGACTGAATTCTTTCATCTAGGGCAGAAAGGACATAAGAGTCTGACTGGTTCCTTGTGGTATCAGGGTGCAACTTCCTTGGTGACAATTCTAATTAAAATTGAAACCTCCCAGTTGGGTGTGGTGTAGCACACCTGCAATCCCAGAATTCTGGGAGGCTGAGGCAGGAGGATCACAATTCGGAGGCCATGAAGATCTTGTCTCAAAAACACCAAAACAAACACAAAAACAACCTCCCCACTGCCACAACTCCCATGTATTATAGTTTATTTTATTATAGTTTGGACTCCTAATGGAATAAAATTTAGTAAGAGACACACAGAAAAGCATGAGTGTAGGGCAGTTTACTGTAGTGGCTGGTGCTGTAATGGAAATACAGCCCAGAGATGTTAGAGAAACCAGGGGGAGGGCTGAGTCGGGGGTAGCTCAGTGGTAAAGTGCCTGCCCAGCAGGAGGGAGGCCCTGGGTTCAATCCCCAGCACCCAGAGGAAAAGAAAAAGAAACCTTAGGGTGGGCTACTGGGGTAGTCAGGAAGGAGACTTCTGAACTGAGGTTGGACAGGAGGCGGAGGGGCCCTGAGGCTAGCGCGGTGCAGGTGGCAGGAACTGCCAAGCCAAAGGCTCTGTGGCGAGAACCCACAAGCTCACGTGTGTGGAGGTTTGAGCACAGGGGCTTCCAGGGCCTCGGAAAGCCCCAGCCTCTAGCGTCTGCGTCGCTGTCATTGTACCTACACAGGCCCAGGCGGCTCCAAGGACCAACTCCCGGAAGGGCCTGGAGGAACGTGTAGATTGCAAGCCCGCTGGAGCAGATAAACTCCAGAGGCAGAAGTCGTGCAGGCCCAGGAGCCTGGCTGGGTAGCTCGTCAGCGGTTTGCAGGCTGTGTAGGAGCTCGCTCTTAGGAGATTTCGGTCAAAGGATGGCCTGGTTTGGTTCTGCGGGACCAGAAGGCCGGGATGGGGAAAGAGGATTCCAGATTCTCCGGGATTCTTCGAATTCTCTGGCGGTGGGCTGGGCGGGAGGCCCGCGGACAGCCTGAGGTGGGGCCTGGGGTTCGACACCGCCCCTCCACCGACCAGCTCTGTGGCTGAGGCGGGTCCTCACGCCCCTGGGCCTCCGTTTTCCTCCCGCGTGGATCCAGAGGTGGCTTCGCCGCTCCCACGGCCTGGTGAGCACGGGAGGGGAGGGGCTGGGGCGTAACAGGAGCCGCTCGGGCGGGGTCTCAGCTCCCGCGGCCACGTTCGCGGCTCTGGAGGGACGCGGGTCCGAGCAGATCGCGGGCCGCGAAGGTGAGAGAGGCGGGGGCGTGGCTGCGGGGACGTAGCGGGAACCGCGCGGAAAGGGACCCGGGCACCGCGGAGATCTGGGTGCAGCGGCCGAGACCACCGGCCCGACGGCCCCACGGCCTCTGCTGCTGCCCCTGAACGGAAGATTCCGGGGAGGCGCTGGGTCCCGGACGCGCGCCCAGTCCACTCCTCATCGGCCACCTCCTCCTTGCTTTTCCTGGGCCACCTGGCCGGGGACTGGCCCTCCCCTGTCCCAGGGCCTGCTTCTTCCTCTCCATAGCCCTCACCATTACTGGTCTGTATGTTATTTGTTGCTTTGCTTCTTTTCTTTTCTTTTGAGACAGGGTCTGACTTTGCAGTGCAGACTGGCCTTGAACTCACTATGCAGCCCAGACTGGCCTCAAACTGACAGCTATCCAGCTGCCTCTGCCTCCCCAGTGCTGGGATTATGGGCATGTGCCACCATGCCCCGCTATTTATTGTTTTATTAATTACTATTTTATTCACTTTTTATTGTTATTTTAGGTACTAGGGATTGATCTCAGGGCCTTCGCATTGAGCTACATCCCCCACCCTTTTTTATTTTTAATTTGAGACAGGGTCTTGCTAAGTGACTAAATGATCTAAGCTGGGCACAAACTTGAAACCCTCCCACCTCAGCCTCCCAGAGGCCTGAGATGACAGGTGTGTGCCACCACGTCTGGCCATTATTTTTTATTTTTGTTTGCTTACGTTGGGAGGATGGGGAACTTTGTTATGTACACTGATATTGTCCCATGAATTCCACAAATACCTGCTAAGGGCTTCACGGAAACCCTACATGGTATTGGACATTGAGGGTGCCTTCAGAAGCCAAGACAAGTCTGGCCCTAGAGATTTTGGGGCTGGGAATGGTGGAGTAAACACAAAGGAGATCACCGTGGGGCTGGGCATATTGGTGCACACCTGTAATCCCAGCATTTGAGAGGCTGAGGCAGGAGGATCCCTGCAAGTTTGAGGCCAACCTGGGCTATATAGTGAGTTCAAGACCAGCCTGAATATAGCATGATCTTGTTGCAAAAAACAAACAAAGGAGATCATTGTGGAGTGAATGAGAGAAGACCTGAAATAAGAGGGCGGCTGGTCAGTGACCTTAGATCAGGCCACCTTGGCCATGGTGATCACGCGAGTCTTCTCTGATTAGGTGATTTAAATTAGAGCCCACAACCTTGCAAGCACAAGGACCCAAGTTCGACCCCTGGTACCAACATAAATAAATAAATTAGAGCCCACAAATAAACTGTGTGACAAGGACTAGAAGGGAAAGCAGGAAGCTATGGGGGTGTCACCATGACCCAACCCCTGGCAGCAGGAAGCCGGGGTTTGAAGAGTGAAGGTCAAGACCACAGGACCAGCCCTTGGCCTTGCTCATGGGAGCCTGGCCTGGGTGGATGGGGGAGGTTACGAGGCTGGGACGGCCTTCTGGGGCAGTGGGAGTTTCAGGGATGGAAGAGTAGGAATTCTCATCCTTCGAGAACTGTTTCGCAGGCTCCTGGGAACAGTCACTGGCTGAGCTGTGTGGCCGGAGCAGAGGCCCCTGCCCCGCCCCATGGTAAGTACATCCCCCTCAAGGTGCAAGTGACTCAAGACCAAGTGCTGCTGCTCATTGGCCATGTGACTGTGGGCAGCTCCCCTCCACTGCTCCTGGTCTCCGTTTTGTTTTTCTTTTTCTTTTTTGTTTTCTATGAGTAAAGACAATGAATGGGGCACCGACATCAGTGGTGTGGTTAGCCCTCAGCTGGACCCTGAGCCTGGGCCACACTCTTGTTTACAGAGTGGGTCCCTGTCTGAGCCTCCATGGGGGAGGCCGCCTGCCCAGGCCTGCACCTGCCTGGCTCTGAAGGCTGCAGGTTCTTACTGAAGGTCAATAGTGCTGTTCACTAAGGAGCGGCCACCAGAGGCCCAGGAGGGTCGTGGAAACCCTGGTTTGTCCTCAGTTGAGAGGCCCCCAGCTTAGGGGATGGTTGAAGCTTTCAGCCCAGCTGGCATCTATTTTTTTCTTTTTTTTTGAAACAGGGTCTCACTCGGTTGGCCAGTCTGGGTTTAAACTTTCGATCCTCCTGCCTCAGCCTTCCAGAGTACTAGGATTATGTGTGTGCACTTGGCTTATTTCTTTGGGTTTTTAAAAAGGCACACTGAAGGGCCTGGGATTTAGCTCAGTGGTGCCGCCACCTGCCTTGAAAGTGCAAGGTCCTGAGTTTGATCCCCGTACAAAAAAAAGCCACATTGGAGAGGGACAGAAGGGGAAGGAGACATAAAAAGAATTAAGATGTGTTATGTGCATGTACCAACTCCCCACAATGGATGTAATCATCATGTACTGTAAGCATGAACTAATAAAAGTTTTAAAAACAATTTAAAAGAACACCACTTTGAGGTCCTGCCAAGCCTCCTGGCCAGAGACAATAACATTATCTTTTCTGGAGTATTCTACTGTCCAGTTTTTTTGAGGGGGTGGGTAGGTACTGGTGCATGAGCCTAAGGAATGCTGAGCTTCATCCTCAGTCCTTTTTCTTTTATTCTTAAATTTTGAAACAAGATCTTGCTAAGTTGCCCAGGCTGGGCTCAAACTTTCGATCCTTCTGCCTCAGCTTCCCAGAGTGCTGAGATGACAGGTGTGTGCTACCATGCCTGGCTAATATCCAGTTTTGTGTTTGTGTTTTTGTTTCTGTTTTTCTGAGACAGGGTCTCACTATGTAGCCCAGCCTGGCCTTCAACTCACTGAGATCCTCCTGCCTCAGCTTCCCACATGCTGGGATTACAGGTGTGTGCCACCATGCCCGGCCTAATGTCCCATTTTTTGCATGGCCCTCACAACATCCCTTTGAGAGGAAAGGTCAGGGAGACTCACCCATTTCACAGATGCAAACCAGGAGCCCAGGAACACAGTAGGGGAGGAGAGGCCCTCGGGTTGGGGCTCAGGTCTGGCCAAAGTCAGCGCCTTTCCCCATTGGTGCTGCCTCCCTCTCTAACCCACTGCCACCTCTCTCGCCTCTCAGTTCTTGTGGGAGCCATGAAGCTGAACAAGAGGAGCGTGGCCCACTATGCACTGAGTGATTCCCCAGCAGACCACATGGGTTTCCTGCGCACGTGGGGGGGCCCAGGGGCCCCCCCTACTCCCAGCGGCACTGGCAGAAGATGCTGGTTTGTCCTCAAAGGCAACCTGCTGTTTTCCTTCGAGAGTCGAGAGGGCCAGGCCCCACTGAGCCTGGTGGTGCTTGAGGGCTGCACAGTGGAGCTGGCTGAGGCTCCCGTGCCTGAGGAGTTCGCCTTTGCCATCCACTTTGATGCCCCTGGAGTGCGCCCGCACCTGCTGGCGGCAGATGGGCAGGAAGCCCAGGAGGCCTGGGTGAAGGCACTATCCCGGGCCAGCTTCAGCTACATGCGCCTGGTGGTTCGAGAGCTGGAGAGCCAGCTGCAGGATGCCCGCAGGAGCCTGGCCTTGCATCGCTGCACATCCCAGAAGGCCAGTGCCAGTTGCCGAAAGCCACAGGCACCTGACAGCAGATCTCCAGGCCTGGAAAATGGTCACTTTCTCCCCAGGGACTGCAGTCCCGTGGGCACAGTGGAAGGAGTAGGCTACAGGCCAGTAGGGTGGGATTTGCCTGAGTGGGAGTTGCAGGGCCCCACTGGCCTCCTCCTAGGCAGGGGGCAGAGCCCTGTGTCCCCCGAGACCTCCTGCTTCTCTACCCTGCATGACTGGTATGGCCAGGAGATCTTGAAGCTGAGGCAGGGGTGGCAGCAGAGGGCCCAGGGGAAGCAGCCAGGATGCAAGCGCCAGGATAAGCCCTGAGGCTGGGACCTGTGAGTTCTGGTTGTGTCCTGCTGGTCAGGACAACCCGGGGTCAGTGCTTCTTCAGAAGTTCAATGTTTACTCATTTGCAAGATTGCTTTGCCACAGGTAGGGTGAGGACAGCTGCTCCCTCTTGCTCTTTATATCTTCTTGGGGTTCCAGTCCTCCCTTGTGCCTGGAAGGGACTGACAAACCATGACTTCCAACCTGTTTGCTGAGGCCCAGAGAGGAAAGGTGGCCTGCATAGGACTCTGCTGGACATTAACAAAGTGAAGGAAGTGGGCTGCCCTACCTTTGACCTACACAGTGGAACCTATGGCCATAGTTTTCAACACAGGGAGTCTTACATGCATTTAAATTACCAGAGGCTGGCTGCAGATTATCTGAGAAAGTGGATTTATGTGTCATAGAAATTCCTGGGCCCAGCTCCTCCTGGAGGTTACAAAGAGTGAGCATAGACAACCCCCCCCCCTCTACTTTGGGTGGAGCCCTTTGAAGGAGAGGGCCTCCTGCCTATAAAAGGGAATTTCTCCTACTCTCCCTGGATGCCCTGACAGTAGATGGTGCAGGACTTTGCCCCAGGAGGGGCTGTTAGCTTTTTTAAGTAAGCAGAAACGCTTCCCATCATCTGTCCTCAGCTTCCACCTCTTGTCCCTGCCAAGCTGAAAGTTGGGGAGGTGGGGAGGTAGAGAGGTTGGGTGGCTCCCGGGAGAAAGGAAGCTTGTTTCTTTGGTTCTGGAAATTCTAGAAGCTTGGACACAAGATTCCCAGTATTATATGGTAAACTCTTCTCTCCCAGTTGGGCTCCCATAAAAGTGTTTTTACTCCCGAAATTGCAGGCGAAACCAACCACCTGGGAACTCTGTCCCAGTCTTGCTTCTCACTAGGGTTTACCTGTCGAAAACCCTCACTGCTACTCCCTAGCACTGTGCCATGTTTTCTCTTCCTATGGTTTTTTTTTTTTTGGTACTGGGAATCGAACTCGGGACTTTGCGCTTCCAAGGCAGGCGGCAGCACCATTGAGCTAAATAACCCTCTTCCTACAGTTTTGAGAGGCAAGCAGCTGGGGCCAACCTCTTGCTGTATGGGTGTGCTAGTAGTGGCTGGTGGGAAGATGGGGGGCCTGGTCAGACTTCCTCTTCCCCAAAACACAAAACCTGCCCTTTCCTAGCCTCCCCTTCCTTACTGGGGTCTTAGGCAACCAGACCAGGACCCAAGTAGCCTAAAGCTGAGGCTCAAGAGTGTCTTCTCATTTCTAGGAGGCTGAGAAACTGCCCAGGGCCCTGTCTAGATTCCTGTCCTACCCAACTTGTTTCTTTTCCCGTGTGGGACCCACATAGCCCACTGCACTTTATTTTATACACAGATACTGCAGGATTTGTAATCTTTCTTACCGTTACAGTGTTTTTTTTTACATATATATACATATATATATACACACACACACAATTAAAACACTAAAGTTTTAAAAATTGTTATTAGATTCGTTTATTACAAGCTCTGTTTATCCAAATGCAGAGGGCCACAGCTATGGACACCAATATCTGAGGCTGGGAACTGAATTAGTGCCGGAAATCCGGGTTCTCGGTGGTCCTAACCTCCAACGGGGCCATTCTTCTACTAGGCTTGTCAGACTTGTACAGGAGGCCTGCAGGCCGCTGCCCCGTGCACAGGGACTACATGTATAGGCCTTTGTTAACTTTTTTATTGTTACAATGTTTCTTATACGATTCAAACTCTAAAGTTTTGTCTTTATTACTCATTTCGGTTCCTTAAACTTATTTCAACAGTATGCTGTAGGTAGGGGTGGGAGGCTCAAATGGGCGTCGGCGTCGCCCTCGTGACCCCATCACGTGTCCCTCGACACGCCTCTTTCCCACTGCCACGGGAAGTGCGGACACTGCGCAAGTGTGAGGATGGGGTTCTCGTGTGCTTGCACAACATCGCGAGACTTGGGGTGGCGCCCTAAAGGACGGCGGCGCCAGGGGTGGGCGGCGAGGTGCGCGTTCCCGGGAGAGGGGCGGAGCTGGGAGATGGCGTCCGGAGGGGCTCGCTGGCTGCTTTTGGCACCCCTCCGATTCGGGGCCCTTCGTAGCGGGCCGAGGTTGAGGAAAGGTGGCGATGTCCCCGCCGTACGGGACGGCTCAAGTCGCAGCCTGGTACCGTCGAGGTCAGTCATCGTTACCCGCAGCGGCGCCATTTTGCCCAAACCGGTGAAAGTGAGTGTCTTCCTGGAGGTGGGGCAAAGGGGCTGAGGCCAATCATAGCGGGGAGTGAGTGCAGGCCGACGCTGATTGATAAAAGCGGAGACCAACCACGGGATCTCCATGGATGGGAGGCGACCAAGGACAATTTTTTGCGCTTCTGGGTTAATTTTTTTTTTTTTTTTTTGGTACCTGGGATCAAACTCGGGTCCTTGCGCTTGCGCAGCAGGCGGCGAAACCACTGAGCTAAGTCCCTGGCCCTGGGTTACTAATTTTTACCTCTGGGAGACTAGGGTTAAAAAGCCGGTCTTTGGAGCAAGCTCTTAGTTGAAGGGCAGACCTTGTGTTTTATAGTAGCTTATCTTAAGGGGTGCCCTATTCCTCTGAGGTCTGGAGACTCAGCTTTATGCATTGAGTTTAGACAGCCACGTACAGCACAGTTGAGCGATAATGAATTGTTTGTAAGTAGAACGTTGGGCAGGGCCTTACTTTTTAAAATTGTTACCTCTAGCCGGGGATTTAGCTTAGTGGTTCCGGCGCCTGCCTCGTAAGCGCAAGGTCCCGAGTTTGATCCCCGGTACAAAAAAAAAAAACACCTAAAATTGTTACCTCTAGTATTTAATTCATGGTACTTGCAGTTCTGAGAGGTGTGTAGGGAATTATTGCAATCAGTTTTTGTTTTTGCTTATTTTTTTAACAAATGAAGAATCCGGGTCCTCGGTGAAGCTAGCGGGCTTGTGGACCTAATCAGGTCCAGTTTCTTTCACCATTGAATGCTATCACTTGGCCTCAGAACTCTTGAGTCTAAGGAAAACGATCCCTTATATCAAACAGGTTTGTTTCTTGACTTCTTGGGGTAAACTCCAGGGAGATTTTGGTGAGGTTTTACTGATACTCTTATCTAAATAGTCTTCATGTAAAGACATGCCCGCTTTTCAGATACACCTGTTTCTAAAATTCAGTGTGAAATCAGATTTTTCAGGCATCGTGGAACTATAGAGAATATTCCTTCAGTTTTGTGTGTGTGTGATTCATTTTCATGTATGTCTTCAAGTAGAGCTGAGCATAGTTCAGCCCTCTCAGTGTTCACCTGATGGTAGCTATCTGCAAGTAATTAGCAGATTGTGCTTAATTTTTAATGTCTAGGGTGTCTTAAATTTTTCTTTCAGTATCAGGTTTTTTTTGGTGCCAGGGATCGAACTCAGGACCTTGTGCATTCGAGGCAGGTGCAGTGCCACTGAGCTGAATCCCCAGCCCTCTGGTATCAATTTAAAAAGAAATTTTTTTTAAATTTTTAAATATAAGTTTTATTGGTACATTTTAGGTGTACAATATAATGACATTCCTCCACTATCAACTTTGATGGCTATAACAATCACGTATCTCCTCTTGTAATTATTTTTCTTGCTGTGAATTTTTTCAAGGATTATTAATCAAGCTACTTATGATGGGTCAGGGGTCCACAGAAGGAACTGCCCCTGGGAGGGCCGGGCCTTGTGTGTTCCTGAGTGGGCTCTGGAGCTCACACCCACCACTCTGACCTGCAGATGTCCTTCGGTCTTCTCCGCGTGTTCTCCATTGTGATCCCCTTCCTCTATGTCGGGACACTCATTAGCAAGAATTTTGCTGCTCTACTCGAGGAGCATGACATTTTTGTCCCAGAGGATGATGATGATGATGACTAACAGGTAAGACTTGCTTTTCCCTCTTGGACAGGAGCAGGAAGTGGGGTGGGGCATCTGATCTATGATCCAGACTGGCCTAGTAGCAGCAGCATGTGGACACACAGGGCAAGCGCTTCAGTGATGAATTGACCCACTTGGTGACTAATGCTTTTGTCTTTTACATATGTTGGGTGAGGGTAACTTAACTGACTTAGAAATTCATGGGTATCTCTTCCAGCTGGGCCAAGATCCTACCCGGCCTCTTAGTTGCCCCTGGTGTACTCTCAGTCAGCTCACGTTTTCCTGACAAGATGCCAAGCACACCCACCCTAACAGTGTCATCTCAGCAGCTCCATAAAGTGCAGAAGCTGGCAAGTCCTCACTACTGTCAGCTGCACTCAACAAACAGTGCACTAGCACAGCCTGTACATGGGCATCAGTTTATGGTACACTGCTCACACCCCCTCCCCCCAGGAGTGCCAAGCCTTTTCTCACTCAGGTTTCTGTTGATTTCTTGTGCTCTAACCTGTGCTGTATGGCAGTATGGCTGTCACAGATAAGGACACCCGACTCCTTAGTCTGGCATTTAGGTTTGCCATGATCTGGTCATACTTCTTAACCAATGTTAGCTTCCATTTTCCCAACCATGGGAGGAAATGGCCCATGAGGGCCAGGCCTTCTGTGCTGGCAGAGTGAACTACCGCCAGGGTTCTTTTTTGTTTTATTTTAAAGTGTTGGAAATTGAACCCAGGGCTTTGTGTCTGCTAGACAGGTACCTTTCCATTGAGCCACATCCCCTGCCCTTTTTATATATTTGAGAGATAGGGTCTTGTTAAGTTGCCCAGACTGGCTTCAAACTTGCCATCCTGCTGCTTCTGCCTCGAGTAGCTGCGATTACAGGTGTAGCATCTGCTATAATTCCTTGAATTACCCTGACTTACCCACCCCAAGCACTAACTCGTTGTTCTTCCCACTGCCCTGTCATTTCCTGCATTCTCCAGTGACTTTGATGAAGTTTCCCTTTGTTCCTCCATTTGAAAGTGACCGCTGCTTCCTCTGAATGACCTTTCTCACAACCCTCCGTATAATATGCTTAAACACACACAGATGCTCCCAAAATTTGGACTATGAGCTTCTTGCTGGCAAGGAACATTTTTTTTTGGTACTGGGGCTCGAACTCGGGTCCTTGCGCTTATGAGGCAGGCTTCGGAACCACTGAGCTAAATCCCCAGCCCTAGGGAACATTTTTTATACCTCTGGGGTCCTGATGCCAGGCCTGTGGTGAGTGTCCATTACATGTGTGAATAATTAGAGGTACTCAAAACTGCCTTTCTCCTGCCATGTTTAGTAGAAGCACTCCACAGAACTCTTTGTTCGTGTAGTTACCTTCCTGTTGCCTTCCTTTCTTACAGGATGAGAAGTAGAGGAGAAAGCAGCAGCTGTGAAAATGACAATGCTCTTGGCCACTCCTTCCCTTTCAGCTGAAGGGCTCTGGAAAGCCCTTAGCCCACCTCCTGCATAGTCTGTGATTGCAGCCCAGATCCCCAGGCTCTGGAAGGTTCCCTAAGGTGTATTGTCCACTGTGCACTGGGAGAAAAGTCAAATTATGAGTCACACAATAAATGTCAGCTATATGAGACTAAAAGTTGGCTGGAGTTTTCTCAATTCAGGTAGGCTCTTGTTGCAGTTTCTTGTCTCTCAGAGGAACATACAGGCCATTCCAGGATATCTAGGCTATGTGGATCCATAGAGGTAATTAAGGGGAGCTATGTATGTTAATTCCTTTCTTTACCCCTCTACAAAAGCCTTACAGAAACTGTTTTCCCTCAAAGCTGCACTGCTCACACCCCTAAAAAGGTCTTCCAAGCCCTTTTTGTTTTTGTTTTTTTGAGGCAGGGTTTTGCTGTGGAGCTCAGGATGACATTGAACTCACAGTGATCCTCCTGTCTCATCTTGAGTGCTGGGATTACACATGTGCACCACCATGCCTGGTTCTCTAGCTTTGTGTGTGTTCAGTAGTATGGGTTAGTTATGTGCCAGTCATGAGGAGCAGTGACTGTTTACAAATACTTACATCTCATTAGAATGGTCTTTCAAAACTTGACTTCCTTAGGTGAAGACTGTAAGGGGATGCTTGGTGCTGAAAGCGTGGGACTCCTCAGTGTGGTTATAGATACTGAGCCCCTTTCTCCAGCATATGCATTGACCTGGGAAGGAACAGAAAAGACTACCACCCAAAGCAACCAGACATTATTCCTTAATCTGGCTGATGTCAAATCTCCAGGTATAGCAGTTTGCAAAAACAATAGGTTATTTCTGCTTTTGTGTATGCACTAAACAGCTGTGCCCCTAATAACCCAATGAGCAGGACTGAACCTAGGGCCTTGTACATGCTACACAAGCACTCTATCATGAGTTCCATCCCCAGCCCTTTTTAATTTTTTAAAAATTAGTACATTTCTAGTACATAATTACATTCCTCATTGTGAGTTGATACATGTATACATAACACATTTTAATTCTTTTTTTCATCTCCTTCCCCTCCCTTCTTGGGCCCTTTCCCATTTGTAAAAGATTTATCAAAACAAACAAAAAGATTTATCTCCATATTTCTTATCTTTTATTTTCCCAGCCCTTTTAAAAATTTTTATTTTGAGCCGGGGATTTAGCTCAGTGGGTCCGTCACCTGCCTCGAAAGCGCAGGGTCCTGAGTTCAATCCTCATACAAAAAAAAAAAAAAATTTGTTTTGAGACAGGGTCTTGCTGAATTGCCCAGGCTGGCCTCAAACTTGACCTTCACCTCCCCAGTAGCTGGGATTATAGGTGTGCACCCCTGGACCCATCAGGAAATTAATTTCGTGTTAGGAACCAGTGCTTGTTGCGAGGAGCAAGGCTAGGCCTGTGAATATGCATTTTCTTCAGGACCCCAGGGGAAAATACAATGTCAGCTGTACTTCTGTTAATGCTGCTTTCATCCCTCTCTGACTGGCTAAATTTGGATAACCTGTGGCTTGACGCCAAGGTGTCCAGTCATAGAGGCTGTGTAGCACAATGAAGTCATCCAGCCTCATATCCAATGTGACAGTTTCTAAACAGATGGCCTCATCTTTCCTGCTTACTGACACACATGGCTCTGGGCAATCATCACCCTTCAAGAAGAAGGAATGAACAGGTGCTATGTAGACCAAGACCCCATTTGTTCAGGCAAAAGTGAGAGACACCATAGAAAACTGGTTTACCAATGGAATTCTGTCATGAAGTGACTATCATATCACTGATTTATTTGTACTCTAAAATAATTATATAACATGCACCTTCCTACTGAGTGGCTTTATGGGTCATGGCCAGCATAGAACTTGGACAGGAAATCCTTTGGCCTTGGTGCTTCTGTTTCTTGGAAGAACCGCATAACATGTGTCCGCTGCTTCCACACATTAATTGTTTCCTCCAGTTCCATCTTTCCCTAAAGAAATGAGGGGAGAGGTGGTCAGTCAAAGTGGTAAAGCTGAAGAAATCAACACTGAAGTCCAGAATTCCATCCTCTCCTTGACACTGACCTGCTGAATGACTTTGGGCAAGTAATGACCCTGTCTAGGAAAATTTCTGCATTTGTAAATTGAGGAGTGGGGCTGAGTAATTTCTGAGGCCTCTTAAATATTCTTTCATGCTGTGGTTAACTGGTGCCAAGAGGAGAGACTTCACGGTTAACAGGCTATGCATGTGTAACCAGACTGGCTTAACTTATGTTTCTGCTTAACATTTTTCCTACTATTTACTGGTCCACACTGAAATGTCCATTGGTGCTAATGTGGCAGGCCACAGACAGGAAATCGGGCCCACGATGAGACTCATTTACACAGGACTCACCTAACCAGCCTGCCTCTCCATCTGTAAGTTAGCATCCATGTAAAGCAGTAACTTCCAAGGCTGGTGTTCAAGAACTCCACCTTGCTGGGAATTTAGCTCAGTGGCACCATGCCTGGCTTGTAAGTGGAAAGTCCTGAGTTTGATCCCCGGTACAAAAAACAACACAAAACAAAACTCCACCTTTCCTTTTCATAGTGTTTCTTAGTTCTAAAATTCAAGTCCCAGTGGATTTTCTCTTCAATAATCTTTTTTCTCTTCACACTCAGCTACATCCTCAGGCCTTTTTGAGTCCAGTTCTTGCTAAGTGGCTCAGGCTGGGCTAGAACTTGTGATCCTCTGGCCTAGCCTCCCAGAGTGCTGGGTTACAAGCATGTGCCACCATACTTGGCTTCTCTTTCAACAATCTTATAATCTGTTTAACCAGGTGATATCTGTAATCAGGTGATATTCTCCAAGTTTACTCATTTGAAACACAGCAGTAGTTGCCAAACCACTATCTGCTTTTTAAACTTGGACAGAAAATGTCCATTTGGGAAGACCTAAGAAGCATGGGACAAGTTGGCTGATCTTGTAAGTCAGTCAAGGAGGGCCAGTTACCTTAATCACCAGAAGGTCAGCCACCCTGGGGTCTGTGATGTGGGCATTCTTCATAAACATTTCTCGGACTTTATCCCGTCCCTGTTTCACAGTGATGTCTAGCTGGAATAAGGACACTAAAGAGAAAAACATGATCAGGGTAGAAATTATATGGTTAAAACGTGTTTTTAAAAACTGAAGTCAACAGATAAACATTGAACATACAAAGTTGCCTGTTCATTCCTGCACCAGATGTTAGCCGGACCCTCAGCTTTGTGCTTGAGGGCGAGAAGAAGTGTGATACATGGCTCAATGAGCTGACATTTTTTAGGGGGAGACAAGACCACTACATTTGAAGAAGCAGAAAAGCATAGTTTGGGTTTTTCTTTTATGTGCAGGCTGGGGATCAAGGCCAGGACCTTGCATGTGCTAGTCAAATGCCTTGCCACTGAGCTACATCCCAGTGTTAGCATTTTTTTTTTTGGTACTGGGGATCAAACTCGGGTCCTTGCGCTTGAGTGTTAGCATTTTTATATGGGGCAATCAGCAAAACATCAGGGTTGAAATTTATGTAAAATAATGTAGCACAGGCTGTAAGTACCACATGAACTTGGGAGTTGAGGGATACTGCTAAGGGTTGTACAGGTAGAGGTTTCAGTTTGTGAGTCAGTCAGGGAAGCGGAGAGACATGTAAAATGTAGTTCTAGTTTTCTAGGCCTTAAATTCTGATTGGAGGGACAGCCATCCATGATTGCAAACATAAAATCATAAATATCAGCAATCCCTTATGAAGTTATTACAGATCTAATACGTGGCACAGACTCAGTGACCTTGAACTTCATATGACAAGAGGCATATGGACATCCTCTGAAAACTAGGTTCTAACCACTTGTATTCCCATCCTCTAGCTTTCAACTATACTTTAGGTCTCAATATCTAGTTATATGCTCATCTCCCTCGTTTGACCATAAGACCCTTGAAGGCAGGGTTGTGTTTTACTCACTTTTATATTGGTGTAGACATCTGGTACTGGCCCTATTGTACAAGAAGTACCCAGTGAGGGCCGGGGATTTAGCTCAGTGGTTCCGCCGCCTGCCTTGCAAGTGCAAGGACCTGAGTTCAATCCCCGGTACCAAAAAAAAAAAGAAGTACCAAGTGAAATGGAAATTAAATAAGTGAAACTGTTTCTATAGAAAGCCTCCTGTTATCTTTGGCCAGCAAGCAGCATGTGGTGTTTTTCAAACTGGGTCCCTAGGCTTCAAAGAAACTACGGTGGGAACTAAGAGCTGCGCATGCCCACCCCCATGCTGGGGATTGAACCCAGGACCTAATGCATGCTAACTGCATACTCTACAACTAAACTCACTATATCCATCTCCAACCCCAAGAGCAAGGTGTTAGATTGAACGATCAGGGCTAGAAGTCTGGCTCTTCTACTTACTAATGGTGTGACTCATGACAAGTTTAAGTGTCTCACTTGTTTCATCTGTAAGGCAGGGAAACTGCCCATCTTAAAATAAGGCACTGTACAGCATTTAGCATAGTGCTGGATTATATGTAAGCATTTCAGTGTATATTCATTATTACCAATACTATTACTTATTCCTCATCCTTGTTTTGGTTCTTCAGCTGTAGTCCCAGTGAAGGACAGCATGATGCACTGTGGCACGGGTCTCAGTAAGTGACCAATCAGGGATCACTGATCTTTCCCTTAAGCCTGATCTTCACCACTTTGCCTTCTTCTCCCCCTGCTCTCTAGGCTTTCTGTAACCCTTTATCTTCTTATCCATCCCCAGGACCCTTTTGTCTCTGGAATTATCTTCCCAAACAGTAGGTCCTGCAAGGGGATGGTTTAAAGAGCTAGGTTCTAGAAAGTCATGGTATCTGGATCTGTCTTGAAATCTGCCACAACTTCATTTCTCTTCCTCCCTCATGCAAAAAGATAAGGTTTTGGGAACTCTTAGGAGTATTCTGCTAAGCAAACATTCTGTTTTTAAACACCTGACTTTGAATACATCCCTGCCACACACATACACTTGCTTTTTGTTTGTTTTTCTCCCAGATGGGTCTGTGTAGTTCAGGCTGGTCTTGAATTCATTATGTAGCCCAGGCTGGCCTGGAACTTGCAGCATTCTCCTGCCTCAGCCTCCCAATTGCTGGGATTACAGTTATACGCCTCCATGCCCAGCTAAACACTTGCTATTGTCACCCTCACCCAGCTGTTTGCCTGTCCCCTGAAGTCATTTGAATTTGCAGTCCCTACACAAACAGGACACTTCTTAGTTCCTCTCTCTCCAGCATCAGGTGGGTTTACATTCTTTCAGGTCACTAGCCATCTCTCCAAAGTCAGCTTGAGGACAGGGACTCAGTGGACCATTGTTCTCATACAACAAAGAACGGGTGCTGTGTAGAGGCTCCTAGGTTAAGCCTGAGAGCAGCATGAATAACAAAAACAGCAGCTACCAAAACTTAGTGCCAGCCCCTGTTCTAAGCATTTTACATATACAGTATTAACCTATTTAAAATGGTAACTGTCCCAAGAAGACACTATTATTTCTCCATTTTACAGATGAGGAAACTGAGGTACTGATGAAACAATGTACCCAAGGTCACACAAGTAGTAAAGGGTAGAGACTGGAGGAAAGCGCAGGCTACAGATCACCACCTTCTACTGCCTTTCACAGGCAGGGAAGTCACACTCAACCATGCCTTCCACCTCAGGCAGCAGTGATGGTTCAAATTAAAACACAGGAAGGCAAATCGACACAGTTAACAAAATACGGACAGTCAAGGGCATTTGCATCGCCTTTTTTTATCCAGCACAGTGGGCAGCACTGAAAGGGATGTCGAGATGAAACTGTGCAATCTGGGAGCTTGTGTACCAATCCTCCAGGTGAACAGACTGGTTCTCTGCCACCTAAGCGAGGGAAGGAAGGGATTCCGCGTGGTAGGGGGCAGACCGGCAGGGGTAGGGTGAGGAATTCCTGAGCAATAAATAAGAGGGCAAGTCGAGCTAGGCAGCAAGGCTTGGTGCCCATCTCTCTTGGAGAGCCAAAAGACATCAATGACTTACCGGACGACCTTGGGAAAAGCACTTTCCTTCAGTTTCTTTTTCTAGGGGCGGGAGCGTGTGGGAACTGGATGATGGCTCAAATCCTACAGCCGCTTTGTATAAGACCCAATAGGCGAGGCCGGGGATTTAGCTCAGTGGTTCCGGCGCCTGCCTCGAAAGTGCAAGGTCCCCAGTTCGATCCCCGGTACCAAAAAAAGAAAATAACCCCCAAAATCCCCAATGGGCGTCCGAGAATATTTTCTGGAACTGTACAGCTGGGTTCCAGATCTAGCAGAGGTTATCTCTGGGCCGCGGGCCCGTCACTTTGCCTCTCGTCGCCCTCACTTGCCAATGACAGTCGCCAACAATCCCCGCTGTCCCTCCCAGGGGCTCTGTAAGGGTTATGGGGACAAAGGACTCCAAAGTGCGGAGGCACCTAGTAGCTCTCTGTACGGATGCTGGGCATGGCTCGTCTGACCTCGGCGCCGCAGTCAGCTCGGGCCCACCCTGGGCTCGGGTGACCCTTTGTCTTCCCCGGAGTCGCCTCGGCCCAAGCAAGTGACCTCAGCTGCCTCTCACCAGTGTGCGGCACCTCCCGATACCAGGCGCGGTAAAGCTCGCGCACCCTCCGCTTGGCCTCGTTCATGTCCCGACTGAAAATGGGCTTCACGGCGGTGCTCGCCACAGCAGCACCCGACCGCAAACCGCTCGCCGCCATCTTGCTAAGGACACCACCTCTCCAGTCCCACCCCCCCTTCTCGCCGAGAGGGTGCGCCTGAACGAATCTCCTTCTGGTTGGCTAAAAGGGAGCGCCACGCCCCTGTGCTCCAAGTGGGCGAGACGACAGCTCGGCTTCTCCGATTGGGTGGAAGCGAGGGAAAAAAAGACTGGCCAGTGAGGATTGCGCATGCTCATCTCCAGAAACGCTGCGGCTCCTCGGCGCGGTTTAACAGTCTCGGTAACAGCCAGAGTGCGCCGCCAGGGGACGCTGCTGCGAAGCCTCTATCAGCGTCCCGCCGCCCAGTTGCGACGCAGTTGTCGCTGTCGCCTTCCAGCATTTCCTTGGTCAACGCTGGGCTTAGGCTGAAGCCCCCCCCCCGCCCCCGAGGTAACGCCTGAGGTAGATGATGGCGCCGGCTGCAGTGGCGCTGTCCCGGCCTGTCGGCAGCCAGAGCCCTCCTGGTTTTAGTGTCTTGGCACCGCTCAACCGCAGGAGGTGGGGTGGAGCGTCGGGACTCCGTTATCCCAAACTCTGGATTTCTCTCAAAAGTAGTCCAGAATTGTGAGGCCGGAAGGACCCTTAGGTCGTCCATTTGGGGTGTTTTCTTGCTGAGGTGAGCGCTGAGCATGAAGGGGACAGTGACAGGTGGCACCGCGACAGCCCGTGCCCTGGGTGTTTCATGGTCTCGTCTCAGAGGCCGGGCAGGTGCCCTTAGCACCCTCGTTTTAGAGGTGAGGAAAGAGAATCCAGGTCGCTTGCCACAGTAGGTCGCCTCTGCCTGTCTCCTGCCTAGGGGTCACTGTCTGTCTCCGGAAGTGCAGTTGACAGGCACCTTGGAAGTACTGGGGGGAGGGGCAAAGGACAGGCCTGAGCTCAGCGGTGTGACCCCAGCTGGCATGGGCAAAGCCCTGCATCGCCCAATCTTTCACCTTTTAAAGGGTGAAAGATCTGATGTCTTCTCTTTATTATATTTTGTAATTATATTTAAATGAGCCATGCAAAGGAAAGTGCTACAAAATTTCCTATGATGAATGTTATCATCGTGCATATCTAAAACGTACCAATAAAGGTTTTGCTTAAAAAAAATGTATACAGTCATGTGCTGTCTATAGGACTATAATCCCATAACATAATGCAGCTGAAACCCTTTTAGTGACAGCTTGGCTTTGCTAGTGTAAACAGTCCTATTGTGCTGCCAGGTGTATGAAAGTACAGCACTGGCGCCGGGAATTTAGCTCAGTGGTTCCACTGCCTGCCTAGCAAGCGCAAGGTCCTGAGTTTGATCTCTGGTACCAAAAAAAGGAAGTACAGCACATATGAGTGTGTAGTGTGCCTGGGCTGGGGTGTAGCTCAGTGGTAGAGCACTTGCCTAGCACGTGTGAGGCCCCAGGTTTGATCCCCAGCAACCTTCCCAACAAAACAAAAGCCCCCAAACCCAAATATGTACAGTATGTAGTACTTGATAATGAATGACTGTTACTGGCTTGTGTAGTATTTACTCTTCTTTTTATAGAATATGCTCCTATTTTTTTTTAAGTTAGCTATAGAACAGCCTTAGGCAGGTCCTTCAGGAATATTCCAGAAGAAATTGTTACTATAGGAGATAACAGCTTCGTGTGCATTCTACTTGGAGACCTTCCAGTGGTACAGAATGTGGCAATAGAAGCCAATCTCTCTCGGTGATCTTGACTCTTTGGCCTGAGTGAGTGTGTATATTTTAGTTTTCAACAAAAAGTTTAAGAAGTTTTTTAAAAGATTAAGCCATAGAAAAAAGCTTAAGATATAAAGAAAGAATCTATGGTAAAGGTAGAATGTAGCCTAACCTTTCCTAATCAGCAGATGATCAGTCTAACATGTGCTAATGTTTTTTCTGCCGAGCCCTGAATCAGATGTTGAATATTTTATCCTCCACAAGTATATAGCTTATGTTGGAGGTGAGCTTTAAGCATTGAAATAGAAGGCAGGAAATTTGAAATTTGATTGCCCTGACATTAGAAATTAATATCCATTTAAAAATTAACCAAAGGGCCAGGGATTTAGCTCAGTGGTGCTGCTGCCTGCCTCGAAAGCACAAGGTCCTGAGTTTGATCCCAGTACCAAAAAAAAAAATTGATTGAAAACATGAATTTTGGGTGAGACTAAATGAGATATACATCTTTATTTTGGTGAAAAATATTTTTGTACAATTGTAATTTTGTGTTTCTGTTTTAAGCTAAATGTTATTACAAAAGAGCCCGAAAGTTTAAAAGCTTATAAAGTTAAAAAGTAAGCTTTAGTTAATAAACTATTTTATTTTTCAGTGCTGATGATCAGACCCAGGGCCTGACACATGCTAAGCAAGCACTGTTCCACTGAGCTACATCCCTAGCCTTAAAGTCAATTTATTATTGAAGAAAGAACATGTATGTTCATAAATGTAGCACAGCCTGATTGTAGTGTTTCTAAGGTCTATGGTGTCGTGAAGTTCTGGGCCTGTACATCCACTCACCCCGCTCTCTCCTTCTCGAAGAGCAACTGAAGTCCTGCAGGCTCATCCACGGTGAGTGCCCTGCCCAAGTGTACCATTTTTATCTTTTATTATTGTTGTCATTATTATTTTGATGGTACTCGTGATTGCGCTTAGGGCCTTACACAGCCCAGCTCTTTTTATTTTTTATTTTGAGACTGGGTTTAAGACTTGTGATCTTCCTTCCCAGCTTCCCAACTAGCTGGGATGACAGGTGTGTGACTCTCCACCCAGTCATTTTTTATCTTTTCTGTTTTATTTTTTTGTGGTTTTTTTCTTTTTTGGTACCGGTGAACTCAGGTCCTTGGGCTTGTGAGGCAGGTGGTGGAACCACTGAGCTAAATGCTCAACCCTCCTTTTTTGTGTTTTTGAGATAGGGTCTCTCTGTATGTAAACCAGGCTGGCCTCAAACTCATTGTGTAGCTCAAGCTGGCCTTGAACTTTAGATCCCCCTGCCTCAGCCTCCTGAGTGCTGGGATTACAGTCATGCCTCACCACACCCATCTCATTTAAAAAATCTTTTTTACCATATTTTACTGTACTTTTTCTATATTTAGATGTGTTTAATTTTTATATACATAAATACTTCATTGTATTGCAGTTGCCTACAGAATTCAGTAACATGTCATACAGGTTTGTAGCTTAGTAGTGATAGGTTGTATCATATAGCCTAGGGGGCTATATCATCTAGGTTATTGTAAGTATACTCTGTGATGGCCATACAATGACAAATTTGCCTAATAATAACATTTCTCAGAACATATCCTTGTTGTTAGATGATATGGCTGTATATATGAATTGCAAAGCATAAGTGGAAACTTTTGAACCTCCTACTAATTTTAGAAGTAATAAGGTGAAGTGTACAATGACTCTAATTGCCACTGTTTTAAGTTCTTTAGGCATAGTAACTTGGCAACACACCTGTGAGACAAGTATTATACCCATTTTACAAGTATTATACATTTTACAGATGAAAAAACTGAGACACAGAGAAAGTAAGTTATTAACAGCATTGGGTTGAAACCCAGGAAACTAGCTCCAAAATTTATGATCTATTTCTTACAGCACCTATGTGGCCCTTTGTAATTCTAAAGTGATCCATTTCCTTTCCCCCTCCAGAAGTAATCACTATCACGAGATTAGTATTGTAAAATTCCTTTTCATTGAAAAAAAAGCGGTGCCTAAGGGGCTGGAGATTTAGCTCAGTGGTGCTGGCACCTACCTCGAAAGCACAAAGTCCAGAGTTTGATCCCCAGTGCCAAAAAAACCAAAAAACCAAACCAAACGAAAAAAATGGTGTCTAAGACAGCCCACAGACTGGGAGGAGGAATTTACAAATCACGTATTTCATACAGAACTTATATCTAGACTATATAAGACTTTTACTACACTCAATAATAAAAAGACACGTAGCCCAATTAGAAAACAGGAAAGCCAGGAGTGGGGGTGCATGCCTGTAATCCCAGTACTTGGGAGGCTGAGGCAGGAGGATTCCAAGTTTGAGGTCAGCCTGGACTCCATAGCAAGACCCTGTCTCAAACAAAAAAATGGGAGGGGGAAGGGAGTAAAGGTGACAACACTGAATGCTGATGAGCACAGAGCAACAGGAACTCTCATTAATATTGGAATTACAAGTATCTTCCTTTGGAAGATAATTAAACATACACTGTCAGCACTTACACTACTGTGTGTTTATCCAAAGGAGCTGAAAATTGATGTCTATATGGTTACCTGCACATGGATGTTTATAGCAACTATTGAGAAATGTCACAACTTGAAAGCAGCCAAGATGTCCTTCAATAGGTAAATGGATAAATAAACTGTTATATCCAGTTAGTGGATTTTTTTAAGGCAGCATCTTGCCAAGTTGCTGGGTTGCCCAGACTAGGCTTGAATTATAATTCAGCACTAGGAATGTGCTATTAAGACAAGAAAAGACATGGACAAACCTTAAATGCATATTGCTAAATAGAAGAATATAGCCAGAAAAGGTTGTACTGTATGAGTCTCACTATGTCACATTCTGGAAAAGGCAAACTGAAAGACAGTGAAAAAGATCAGTGTTCACAGAGCCCATGGGCTGGGGTGGGGGATGAAAAGATGGAGCACAGGGTATTTTTTAGGGCAGTGAAACTACTCTGTATGATACTCTAATGATAGATACATCATTATACACAGTCACAACCCATAGATTATACAGCTCCAAGAGTGAACCTTAAAGTAAACTATAGACTTTGGGAAACAATGATGTGCCCGCGAAGATCCTTTTTTTGAGACAGGGTTTAACTATGTAGTTCAGGCTGGCCTTGGACTCACTATGTAGCCCAGGCTGGCCTCGAACTCGAGGCGATCCTCCTGCCTCAGTCTCCTGAGTGCTAGGGTTACAAGTTTGTACTACCACACCCAGCTCCGTGAAGATCCACTGACTGGAACTAATGTACCATTCTGGTGCGGGAGGCAGATGGTTTCCGGAGCTATGAGTGTGTGCAACAGGGGCATATGGGTACTCTGTACTTTCTGCTCAGTTTGGCTTTGAGCCTCAAACTTCT